CGACTAAGCTACAGGGCTTATGGATACACAGATTCTAAAACTGCAAAGACACTATGGGACACTTGATTGGCCTTGGGATTCTTAACTAAATTTTATTTCTTGGGTGGCATTTCAATTTTCTGCATCCATGTACCTTACACTGGAAAAACAAAGACATTAAAAAAAAAAAAAAAAAAAAAACCTCAGCGGAATAGCCTTCCTCTCTACTTCACAAGGGTTGAAATTCGGTGGGAACCATCCGTGCGGGGAAACATGTCAATTTATCAAGTTCAGGTCAACATTTATGCTCCTTCAGCTTAGGGGTGCAAATTCTCATCACTCTGTCAAAATCTTAGTAAACCGCATTGTCACTTACACCAACCATATGCACCATGTCCACATCTTGGTCTACAACTGAACAAACGGGTCCTGACAAATCAGCAAATATCCACCAGGGACCCTTCACGACCAGGCAGTCTGCCAGGCACTAGGAGCGGGGCCCAAAGCAAAGCAGTGACATCTTGGCTAAAGTGAACAAAGCTCATGAGAACTGTGGGATCCGAGTGGAATATCTGTAGGATGGTCACTTTTAAAAGGATTTGCAGACCAGAGAAGGGGAGAGGGGGAGAGGAAGAAGAGGGAAAGGAGGGAGGGAGGAAGAGAGATTCCACAGGTGTATCTCCTTTCTTGCAAAAGACATGCTCCTGAAGAGTTCTGGGGTGATTAAATTTTATAACTTTAATTATATTTTCTCATTGACTTACATTATAATCAGAGAGTGGCTTTATCTACATTTTAATCCAATCTTCAACTGGCGGCGGCTCCCAACAGTTTAAGTTCCCCTGCTTCTCTGTCAAGTAGTTAGCAGTTTATAAACAAACATTTAAAGGCACTATTTGAAGGAATCCTTGAGTGAACCCTTTAAAACAAAGAATTCTTTGGTAATAGAATCATCAGATTGGAGGCTCACCATGCTTTCATGAAGTAGAACATGCGTATGCATAGAACTGCAATGTCTTCTGACAGGATTTCCTTTTAATTATACTCCTTTCCCTAAAGATCAAAATCTGGTGCGTGTCCTTTAAGAGAACATGTTGCATTACTCTGCCCACTTTTCTTCCAAGAACATTAAGAGCATTCTGTCCAGACTCACAAAAAGAATTACTAAGTGTAACCCATGTTACTGAGTCATGTCACATGATAGTACCCTAACTTCTCAGGTATTAAAAATTACACATCAAGAACCAAATGCCACGAACACCAGGAGAGAGAACATTTGCAATGACTCGCCTACTGGTTCAATTTATCGGGATAGATGTGCAGGCAGATGACTTTAGAACTTTCTCTTCAGTACTGGCCTTCCCAGACATCACAAGTAGGTTAGTGGAAATGCAGACGGAGCTCAGCAGTCCTTTCTTTCCCAACGGTGTCACCATTTTTCTCCCCTGCTCCTCCACAATACCCCACCAGCCTGCCCACCTGCAACTCCTCACTTCGCCATTTCCCCATCAGCGTTTGACTTACTCAGTCCTACTGAAAACTTTTCCAGAACAAGCCAAGACAAACGCTTCTCTTCAGCATCAAGAGCATGAAGCCCTCTTACATTTGACGTCGCTTGGTCTGCAGCTGGGTCCACTGCATCGGACGGTAGTCCCAAGCTGCTGTTGAGTATCAGGACTCTAAACCACTAACCGGGCTCCAGCTGGTTTAGGTAAGGCTGCTATTGCATTTCATCCTGCTTGGGTTTCTGAGCTGGTTTTTAATATAACAGCTCACTCTGCTGGTTACACATACCCAGACAGACAATTTCTGGTGGGTTTCAATCTGACTGGCTGTGTTATTTCTAATTAAATTTAATCATGTCAGACATTAATTCTGGAGTAAACGGGTAAAGCCAGTTCACCTTTTTCCCCTTTGGTGACAAGGCTAACTTCCAATAGGCTTACGTACATCATGTACTGAGTTTGTGGTAGCTCATTATGCAATAAAATACAGCTATGAAAAAAAAAAAAAAAACAATGGAATAGAAAACCTCTGCTAAATGCATTCCTCATCCGTGAGAAACAAGTGAACAAGTAAGAGCATCACAAATTAGGACAAGTGCTTCCACTCACACACTCCACCTGCCTTTGCTCGTGTAAGAGATGAGAATCTAGCAGACAGATCTAACGGGTATTTCAGACAGGTTTTCCTTACCCCTGCATTATTGGCTGCCTGAATATCATCTCTGTCTACCATAGGTAGAGCCCCAAGGAGATAAAGGAACCAGACAAGCACCAGCCCAAATAAAAAAATCTGGAACTCAATAGATACATGTGAGTAGCAGGCTAAAATGCCTGCTAATGTCAAAACCGACCCCCCCAGAGGCAGACATAAAACCAAGAACTGCAGCACAGGCAACAAAGCAGCTACAGCCAATGACGTCCATAGAGAAAAAGAGGCTCAATCAAAACAGACAAGGGCCTGGCACGGTGGCCTAGTGACTAAAGTCCTTACCTTGCACGTGCCATAATCCCATTTGGGCACCAGTTCTAATCCCAGAGGCCACACTTCCCATCCAGCTCCCTGCTTGTGGCCTGGGAAAGCAATTGAGGACAGCCCAGGGCCTTGGGACCCTACACCCACATGGGAGACCGGGAAGAAGTTCCTGGCTCCTGGCTTCAGCTTGGCTCAGCTCCAGCCGTGGCAGCTACTTGGGGAGTGAATCAACAGACGGAGGATCTTCCTCTCTATCTTTATTTGCAGTATCTTTATTTGCAATAAAAATAAATCTTATTTTACAAAAAGCAAAGACTGCTTGCCACCACACAGCAGGTACCCCAGATTTATCCATACATGGTTTGAATGAACGAGAATTATAAGGAAAGGATTTAACTTCGCAAGGGACCAAGAAACAAGTGGATAATGTAGTATCAATGGAAAGCAAAGACAAAGACCAATATCTAGGTAATTCTTAAGAGGCCACAGAGACGCGAATCCCCAACTGGGAGCCGTTCCAAGATGCAAATTCCACAGCCTCACGCCAGACCTACAGAATCTGACACTGCAGTCAAGCACAACCACCATGGGAGCCAAGAAGCCCTCCAGGGAATTCTCATCAATCTGTTGTAAGAACCTCTAGCTAAAGAAAAGAGATTCGGTCAAGATTTTGTTTTCAAAGTCTAACAGTCTTACCTCTGGCTGCATATTAAAAAAAAAAAAAAAAAAAAAGCTGAGAAACTTCCAAATCACTAATGGCCAGGCTGGCTCATGACCAGAAACCCTGACCTAATTAGTGTGAAGTGGGACCTGGGCACGGACATGATTTACAATGATTTACAGGCTTTCCAGGTGATTCCAATGTGCCCCAGGCCAGGCAGCGTGGAAAGACACCGTTCAAGACTGCTACGCCAAAGACCTGCACAGGAAGGTTTGACTGATAGGCCTCCCAAGGATGCACACATACATTCTCGCTGTCAAGCACTGCTGTGCTTTTGCTCAGGCAAGGGAAACTGCCTTTATTTCAGTCGCACAGGGGGGAAAAAAAGAGAGAACATCAGCAGCCTTGTACAGTCCCTACTGTCACGCCCTCAGAGCTGGCTTTCGTCTGAGTTGGCTTTCTGTACTCTGGAGCTGGACTGCCCCCTGGGAGTCCCCGAGGAAACAAAGTTGTACTTCGTTCCACGCACAGTGGCAGCGGGCCCCTCCCCCACACCGGAATTGTTAGCCACTTAACTTCCCCACAGACCGCCCTGAGACAGCAGTACGCACCAGCAGATGCCTCCAGAGCTGGAGATACGCCTTCAGGAGCTTTAAACCACCAGCCCCTCAGCTACTCCGAGACCACTAAGGTCTCAGTGGGAGAACGGAAACGCTGAACAACTGCAGTGGGGAGAGACAAGGCTGGAGGCACGCCCCTCCTGGGGGAACACACAAGCCTCAAGGATTCAGGAGCAGCGTCGGGTAACTGTCTGCACAAGCCAAGCCCACAATAAGCCAAGTCCACCTGTGCGAAGAGTGGGGGGAGGTGGGGAGGAGCAGTCGGCACAGTTCAAGCCACAAGATAGAAACTGTTACTATTTGCTGGATTTGGGCCTTCAAAATGGCAAGTTCGTGTATTTCAACCCAATAATATGCCCCACAAGCAATCACTTTATTGTTATTATCCTAGGCCGAATGAAATCAAGTTTCATATAGATCTATAATTTCAGAGTGACCACTTGGCAATACACCATGTTGATAAAGGTGAATTTTCCTGTCACACCGAGTCTTTATCAGAATAGAATATCCACTTACCAAAAAAAAAAAAAAAACTTTATGCACATATGGTCTCTAAAGGTATTGTCATTTCCTTTCCTCCTTTCCTCATTTCAGAATTTTTAGCAAATCGCCAATAAAACTGCCAGTGGGGCTTTAAAAAAAAATCAGTCTTGCTACATCCTTGTTCAAACTGAAAATACTGTCCATCGCTTTTCAATTATGTCTTTCATAAAAGCCATAAATTTGCTGATGAAAGATGAAATCATGTATTCGCACCACCCCCAAACACAGCTTAAAGTACTTAAAGGACTCCATGCAAGACACGGAGGGAGAGGCAGCAGCCACGCTCCTCCTCAGGTGAAGGCTGAGCAGGGGCCACCTTGTGGCTAATTGCCGAAAGAAGCACTTCTTGAACCACAGTGGGGACAGAGACAGAGGGACCCCTTCAGTCATGGAGTCTGAAAACTTGCTGCTTGCTTCAACAAACAGTACCCTGGCATTTACTGAACAGAGCCACATTCTCCGTCTCAGGAGACAGAAGGAGCGCAGCTCCGTGGAACTCCACACTCCCTTGCTACTTTCTGAAGTTTCATGGCTTCAGAGTCTCAGGCAACCTGCATTTTAAAGCAAATGGCTGCTAAGGACTTGCAATCTGCTCACCAGTGGGTGCAGCTTTACGAGGGGTTATTGTCCCATGTTCTAACACTATGCTGTAGATACAGTGTATCGTAGCATCCTAAAATAAGTTTGATTCTAAAATTAAGCATGGAACATCACTGTACCTGTGTGAAGTCACCAGTTGGGGAAGACGGGGAATTTGGCTTCGACCACACTCCATCACTAACTGGTTTGTGTGGCTTGTTCATCCTCAGTTTTTTTTTAATCTGTGAAAGCAGGAATTAGGAAGATAGATTTTCACAGAATTTTAGCACTTGAATCCCCTCTCTCCCCCAAGCACCAACCCCCCACTCCCACCTGCCAATAAGCGTTTTCAGGACTTTAGTAACCCAAAGTAACCAAAACGTAGCAGTTGTCTGGACATATAAAGCAAAACCCCCCAGCCGCCAGCCACCACCAGCCATCCCCTCTTCCCGAACCCCTGAACCCACCTCTGCTCAAGCCTGGGTACCCAGAATTGAAGGTCACTGGGCCAAGGGATTTTCAAACTGCCAGTTTTTAAGAGGCAAGGATTTGATGAGGACACCTTGTAGACATATTTGCAACCTTTTGGCCTTGAAAACATTACACACGCTGAGTGAGCAGAGAACAGTTTAACTCTGCATCCAGCCATGTGCCCCTGCCTCAGAACCCAGGAGAAGGTCTTTTGACGAGCACTAGATAAATCACCCTTTCAAATTACCCAGAGTGCTTGGGGCCCAGGCAAAATCACTGATGATTTGCTCCATCTGCTACCTGCTTTGGCCTTATGGTGGCCATTGCAGGTTGAGTGAACCAGCTGCCAGATAAGGCATGATCCATCCGCATTGATTACTCAGAACTGTGCTTGCGCTAATGACCTTTTGAACTTAAGTGCTTTCCTTACTTTGATGACAACACCTGCCTTTATTAATGACTGTTTTTCTGTCTGATGATAAAATGTGTTTGCATTTTCCCTTTAGCCCTGAAACCTAACTGTTGAGTGACCTGGGGAGACTATTATCTTGATGGATTATGAGACCCCATAGGAAGACTTAATTTGAGAACAAAATAGGTTGAGAATTGATGGAAATAAGCCAAATGGATTTACTAAGTAAGGTATCTACTGCAGAGGCAAGTGATAAATATCTTTCAACAAATAACAGCTAATTCATTTAATAATTAATTCACTTAGTTTGCATCGAGAGTGGTCCAGGCACTGTGTTAGATGCCAAGGATACCCTACATAAGACCCTGTCCCTATCTTCAAGTGACTCCTTCAAATCCCCTACCACCACGCAAGTAAAAAAAAAAAAAACAAGTGAAGCACAACATGATAAGCATCACAAGTGAGGCGGGCAGAGCTCACTTGCCAAGGAGAGAGCTCCGAGCTTGGGGCTGGGAAAGTACGCCAGAGTGACTCCTCACCTAGCGCCTAAGGGATGACACGGCAATCCCTACTTTCTCCTTTGCTGACTGCGACCAAAACCATCAGTGTTCTTCTTTGAGGGAACATGCCACATTACATTTGGCATATTCCCTTGCAGATTGCAGTTAGATGTTGCCACATGACAAGAGTTATTTAAGATTTATTAATTTGAAAGAATGACAGAGAGGGCCCAGCATGATGGCTCATTGGTCAAATCCTCACCCTGCACATGCCAGGATCCCATATGCGCACTGGGTTCTAAACCCGGCTGCTCTACTTCCCATCCAGCTCCCTGCCAGTGACCTGGGGAAGCAGTAGAGGACGTCCCAAGGCCTTGAGACCCTGCACCCATGTGGGAGACCCAGAAGAAGCTCCTGGATTCAGATTGGCTCAGTTCCAGCCAATGAGACCTTTTGGGGAGTGAATCAGCAGACAGATCTTTCTCTCTGCAAATCTGCCTTTCCTATATTTATATATACATATATACATATTTATATATATTTAAATATATATATTTAATGCATATATATTAAATATATTAACATATGTGTATACATATAAATATATATCTAAATTTAAATAGAATTATTAATATGTTAATATATTATTTCACATATGAAATAATGCATATTTGCATTTATATTAAATACATTTTAATACATTATAATATATTCTATTTATTTATATATATTATCTATTATATATTTATATTTATCATAAATCTATTATAAACATGTGATATTTAAAATAGGATATATTAAAATCACATGTGATGTGTAATGTATGATATGTGATATATAATAGACGTAAATATGATCTATGCTGATATTAATTGTGAATATATTGATGTATTAACTATATAATATGTTAAATATATTTAATGAATCTATTAAAGGGTGATAGAAGAAGTGAGGAAGTGAAAGAGGAGAGAGTGGAAAAGGAAGTCTTCTGTCTGCTGGCTCACACCCCATATGGCTACAACAAATGGCCTGGCCCAGCCGGGGTGAAGCTGAGAATGTCACCCTGGTTGTCCACATGTGTGGCAGGGGACCTTCCCAGGCTCGTTAGCAAGCAGCTGGATCAGAAGAGCAGCTGGAACTCAAACCAGCACTCCAATACGGGATGCCGTGGCCGCAAGCACCTGCTTCACCAGCTATATGACTCCCAAGTTCTAAGTTAGCAGAAGTTGTGTGTATTATCGCCAAACTGGCCCGTAAAAACCCTTTCACAGTTAACCCTCAACTTCCCTCCCCATCCGCAATCTAGCTGCATGGAAAGGATCCCGAGGACCCATGGGAGAATAGATCCATAAAATGGGAGAAACCAAAATCCAGGCATGCATGGAACACAGCTGCCATTATCCCTAGAATTGCAGGACAGAGGAGTGGCGCTATCCTAGTCCAGACCTGGAGTCACATCAGCTAAGATTACAGCACTGTGGGGCTTTCCTAAGTGATACCACAGAGGAAGGGGCTCTGGGCAGCAGCTGGAGCCGAAGCCAGGAACTGCCAGCAGAAATCCCAAGTGTGGCGGCCATTTGAAGCATCAGCTAAGCTATCACCTGGGACGCCTACATCCCACAACTGAGTGCGTGACCTTGAGCCCTGGAACTGGCTGCTGACATGAGCTTCCTGCTCATGGACACCCCGGAAGGCAGCAGGTGATGGGTGCCTTGATTCGTTGATTCCCTGCTAACTCATGTAGAGACCTGAAAAGAGTCCCTGGTTCACGGTTTTGGCCTGGCTTAGCCCTGATTGTTGCTGCCATCTGGGAATTGAGCCAACAGATGTAAAGTCTCTGAAATGTTTATTACACAAACTAACCCCTGAAGTAAAGGAAAACCTCATCTCCCATCTCCTGTTAATGCAGGCCACAGGCCGCGCCTCTATAAAAGCCACATGGCATGAAAATTGTTCCCTACGAAACAGAGCTGAGCAGAAGAAAGAGTAGAAAGCAAATCATGGATTCAAATGACCTCGTCTGACCTCATCTGACTATCAGAGTACTTGCAATGAGTCACAGGACCTGGCAAAGTGACAAGAGGTGAGAAGCAGAGAGTGGTTAGAGACAATGCTTTTAATAGACACAGAAAGCCTTAAGGATGGACAGAAAGGACAGTTGCTAATATAAAGAAATAAATATGCTCTAAGAAGAATGTTTTAAGAGTAAAAAAAAAAAAAAAATGGGCCTGGCGCAATAGCGTAGCAGCTAAAGACCTCGCCTTGAACACACCAAGATCCCATTTGGATGCCGGTTCTAAACCCAGCCACCATCCAGCTCCCTGCTTGTGGCCTGGGAAAGCAGCTGAGGACAACCCAAAGCCTTAGACCCTGCACCCATGTGGGAGACCCGGAGGAGGCTCCTGGCTTTGGATTGGCTCAGCTCTTCAGATTGGCTGTTGTGGCCACTTGGGAGTGAATTAGCCTTGGGACCCTGAACCTGCGTGGGAGACCAGAAGCTCCAGGCTCCTGGCTTCAGATCAGCTCAGCTCCAGCCACTGCAGTGATGTGGGGAGTAAAGCAGCAGACAGAGGCTTTTTCTCTCTGTATATTTGACTTTCCAATAAAAATAAATAAACCTAGAAAAAAAAAAACACTGAAAGTCTAACAACAGAGTAATTACATAAAACTTTAACATACCTGTTACAAAGCCTGATATGTAGTAATGCTTGCTCTGTGTTTCATGAGTGACTGGACAGGTGTGGAAACCATTAAGCTGAAAGCCACTGAAGCTGACATTAATCGCACAGGACGATCTTCCAAACAGTCTCAACGCCTGGGTGTCACTAAGGATCCAAAAACAAACAAAAAAAAAAATAGTAACATCTTGACTTCCGACTCCTTCCTGTTCCTAACTCATCGACTTAAGGGTCCGACTGAGAGGAACACTCCTACGCACCTGAGAAGTCTGGAAACAACTTCTTTTTTTAAAAAGGCCCTATGGGAATATTAATCCTAGACTCGGGTTGCTTTGGCTTTTCAGCCACTATTACCTTCTAAAGGCTCTCACTCTGAAGGCCTTCACACCTTAGCTTATCTTTTTCTCTTGCTTCCCTGGATTTTCCAAGTGACTCCTCCAAGGAAAGCATCCATGGGGGATTCAAATGATTAAATTAAGACTGCTTTATAAACTTGAAGCACTTGACAACTCAATACACTGAAAGTGTATTAGTGAATTAGTTCGTAGTTCATAGGAGCCCAGAGCCTGTCTCTCCTGCAACTAGCAGCCAACACTCCCCGTGAGCGTTGGGATCTTCATTTAACATTGCAAGGGTTGACCCCCAACACACAAGCTGTCCTCACCTTGGAGGTGGATCACACAAAACAAACAAAAGTGAGACATTATGATTGCAGGAAAGCACATTATAGGAGAAAAGGCACTGAAAATAGCGTCGCTATAATTTTTTGACAGCATAATTTAGAGGCTGTTTGAGTACATCTATACCTCAGTCCCTCTCCACCTCCTTTCCCCCATGGCGGTATCTTGGCTGTCAATTATTGGGAGAAAAAGCTGTTCTTTAAAAGGCTTTTAGATAGAATTAGGTATTATTGGAATCTTATCTGAAAGCTCTTGGAAAAAAAATTAGTAATTCTTCATCTTCTGCTTGTTTTACATAAAAGGAAATGTCCTGTTGTGTTTATTTGTTCATAGGAAAGCTGGGAACAAACACCAAATACACATCAGTTACATTAAGTGAGAACCCAACGGTTGGCAGCATTTCCAGTTACACATGCTTACCCATTTGTCCTGCAGTTGACATCTTTGAGAGGATGGTGGGGAGCGTTTTAGATGCTTCAAATTCATTCAGTG